TTTACAGATGATGAAAAGGGAAATGGGTTTATTCACAAAGCAAGTTAATGGCTAAGCTAAATCAAAACCCAGGTCTCATAACTTCCATTCAAGAACTCTTTCCATTATATTATCATTTGGAAGGCACACTTCAGAAAGAGAACAAACAGGTCTGTATTTTCAGAGCCCAGCACAGTGCCTGACTGACACACATTGTTTGTGAGAATGCAAGGAATGCAAGGGTGGGAATGAGGATACAACAGACCACGCTGATGCCTGCTCTGATCTGGCTAAACAGAAAGAGGCCAAACAAGTGATTGACGGATTTGTAACTCATGTCAGAAATGTAAGATGTGCTGAATCTCATATTCACAAAACGGGAGGACATTATGTTTGCTTAGTTGCATTGTGAGGATCAGGGTGCTAGGATACAAAAATAAACAACAGAGTCTCTATCCTCAAGGAAGAGCCTGGTGGAGAGACACATTAACAAACATTTTCAATACAAAGTAATAAATGATATGAAAGAGAAAAGCTGTGTGTGGTGGGTAGGGGCATGGTGGTGGTGTTGGGAAGCTTTGGGAACATGGAGGAAAGGTTTTTGCTAATGGGATGGATCATGGCAGGCTCCAAAGTGTTGGTGCCACTGTAGTCTTGAAGGATAAGAACAAGTCTGTCGAATAAGAGAGTAAAAAGGATATTCTAGGTAGAAGAAATAGCACCATCAGAGAGAATGGAACATTGGCAAAAAGCAAGTTGCTGAATGTAAGTAAACAATGGTGAAAGATGAGGCTGCCAACACTGACTAGGCCAGACTGGCAGCACATGTGCTATACTCTAGAGCCCAGCCTTTATTCTGCAGGTGGTATGAAACCAACAAAGTATTTTAATTAGTAGAGAGACAAGGTCAGATTTGTTGCCCAGACACAACCACAGTGGCAAAACGAAGAAGATGTTGGAGAGGAATATTGGAAGTAGCAACCATTGAGAAGGGTATTGCTTTATTTCAAGTTCTAAGGTCTGAAGAAGCAAGGTGGCAGTGAGAATGGGAAAAAAGTGACAGAAACTTTTTGTGTAAGAGGCCATGGTCCTATACCATATCTTGGACACAGTGGAAGCTTAATAAGTATTTGTTGAATGAATCTATTAATACCTGTGACTTATTCTCTATAAAATTCCTCAAAAGCAAATTTCTTACGGGAGAGCAAAGTAGGAACTCAAAGATGATTTTAAAGAGAAGAAGGCATTTGAGCTAGGCTTCAGATTAATCTATTTCCTCATTTAACAAATATTTACTGCTTAGTATGTGCCAAATGCAGTTCTGAGTGCTGAGGATTCAGCAGTAGATAAAAGAAAACACAAAATCCCTGCCTCTGTAGGACTTACATTCTTTCAAGAAAGACAGAAAATAAACAAAATATATAGTCAAAGACTATACACAAAAATAAATCAAGAAAGGGGAACAGAAAATGTTGGGAAGGGAGCTGCAGTTTTAGATGGGGTGGCTAAGGAAAGCCTCCCTGAGACATGGTGTCTTTTCAGTAAAGACTTGACAGACGTGAGGAGGCAGAGTGAACATCATATCCAAAGGCCCCGAGACAGAAGTTTTCCTATGTAAAAAGCAAAAAGGCCAGCATGGCTGGAACTGAGTAAATGAGAAGAGCAGGATGATGGGCAGAGTTTGGCAGCTGGGAAAGGGATAAAGGAATCCAGACTAAGAAAGGTGTATGAACAAAGGCATAGGGACTAGCTTGTCGTTTGTTACAGTCAGAAGGAGAAGGAAGCCAAGCACTGTTGGAGAAATGTTACTACTGTGCTGTCCAAGGCCACTCTAAAAATCATGTCAGTTAGTTGGGGCCTTTCTGGGGCTTAGTAATTTTCTCATTTATTTCTTCAGGACATAGCTCTCTTGCAAGGACCACGAGTCCCAGCTACACAGGATCAATTCTTATTACTGCCTCCCTCAACTCCCTAGAGCAAGCCCAGAACATACTTTCCCACTTCAATACCTTTGTTCAAGTTGTTAATGTTGAACGTCCACCTGGAATTTCATACCCACTTTTCTGAAATCCTATTCATTCTACAAAGTTCTCGTGATTCCTAGATCCAATTTCTGTTTTCTAAACTCTTTAAACACTATATATTTTATATATATACAGGCAGTCCCTGGAGTTACAAACATCTGACTTATGAACCAACTCCCGCAAAGCCTATTATATTAAAAATTTGAGGTACATACAATGCCTTGTAATAAAAAATGGGCACTACTCTGTGACGTGCATCAAAATATTATTATTATTATTACTACTGTATTATTATGTTAAAGATGTTTAAGTGTATCTGGAAGTGTTTCTTTAATGTTTTTTCTGCACAGAAAGATATACCATATACTATATACTAAGACAAACATTTGACTAACTGACCTTAGATACGAACTGTACTTAGCTGTTCCAACTTAGTACAAATCTGACTTAAAGACAGACTTAGGAACTGAATTCGTTCCTAATCCAGGGACTGCTTGTATATATATATATATCAGTGCATTCTGCCTTAACTGGGTTATCAGCTCTTGGAGGACAGAAACTGTGTCATTTGTCTCTGTACTCTCTGTGCCTAGCACTAGCTCAGCACACATTTAGCACTTGCTGAACTGAACTACCATTCCCACAGTGTTAGCACAGGCCTGGGTGTGCAATACTCAACCAATCTGGACTTGACTGACTGGTGAACACAGAGTGAACACAGACTAACTGGCAAACACAGCTACATCTAGTACCTGAGAGGCAGGATAGTACAGAGGAAAGAGTACAGCTCTTGTATTCCAGACATAGCTGGATTCAAATTCTGGCTCAGCAGCTTATTGTGTAACTTCAGGTCATTTAACCTTCTTGAATCTCACTGTTCTCATATGTAAAATGGGTATGTACTGTAACCTATTCACACTATAATCCCAGTTGTGGTAAAAATTAAATGACGTAATTAATATACAAAAACTAGAATAGAACCTGGCACACAACAGATGTGCAATAATTATCAAATTTCCTTGCCAAGTTATATTTAAAAAATGTAATTTGTTGTCTAATTCAAAAGTTAAAAGTGTATTTTGTATTTGTATTATGGAGCTTCCCCTAAAATAGAATGTAAACTGTATTTTGGTATATTAAATTTTATTTTGAATATGTGATGACAAAAAAAAATCCTTACAAAAATCAAAGAAGCTTTATTGTATTTTTCTTAAAATCGATCGATTTTTCTCTATAAAAAAAATTCAGTTTTCATGTATTAAACTTGTCAAGAACAGGTAGTTAAAAAGTAAGAATTGTTCCCCATTTTGTGACTCAGGTAGGATCTCAGTATACCAATACAGAAGAGCAAGACTGTTTCGGGAAGACTTGGTTTGATATAAAACACTTCAAAGTCTCTGATACACAAAGGTTATGATGGATCAGAACCTCGAGAGTCATTATGGAAGCTTACAATCCTGAGAGTAATGTCTGTTGGTGGTGGTGGTGGTAGTGTGTGCGTGTCAGGGGGTGGGGGGAGTAAGTAGGAATGAAAGATGAACAATAGTTATCATGAGCATAAGTTTTGCTTCCGTCCCAAATCAATAAGGACACACAGCACAGTCGGAGAGAGGTCAGCACAAAGATGACAGAAGCCAGGTAGGGAGGCCAAACCAAAAGATGTATACTGAAGCCTTCTGTACTTGTAAGTCATTTACAGATAGGAAATTCAAGACACAAAGAGAAACAATAACTTCCAACTCACTGGCTGGGGATACAGGGCTAACTATATTACTACTAGAACATAAGCTCCCTAAGCACAAGATTTTTGTCTGTTTTGTTCATATCTCCAGCACCAAGGACAGTGTCTGGCACACAGCAATCACTACATACATTTTGTTGCTGAATGAATGAGTTAAGGTATCTGTTCTTGAATAGCAGAAGACAGTGAAGAAGAAAACCTTGCAAACAAGCAATTTCAGCACCGTGTGGTATGTTATGATAAAGAGGACAAAGTGCTAGAGGTAAACAGGAGGGGGGTCTTTATGTCAGGGAATGGTGATGCTTGAGCTGTCTTTAAGAGCTGGTATTAGCCAGGCAAAAAGAAGGGTGATGGCAAAGGGAACATTTTAGGAGACATTGTGGCTGAATAAAGGTAGAGCAGGGGTTCTTTGTACCATGGACACAGTCTGGTGAGGTCTATGGGCCTCTTCTTGAAATAGTGCTTTTTAAAAAATACATAATGTAAAATACATAGGATTACAAAGAAATCCAATTACACTGACATATAGTTAACAAAACACTAAAAAACTCTGTAATATAGAAATATATGTGCTTTAGTAATATAACAAGATCTAACAGTAGCTTTAATAATTACTGGAATTTTAAAGTAATGATGGGTATGAATGATATTCCAGGATGTCAGAAATAACTATAATATGATATAAAAATACCTGTAATTTCAATTGTTGACAACATCACAGGTACTGCTATTATTATTAGGGTCTATTGCCTATAGTCATAATTGTAGGAAATATTAAATTTTGATTAGAGGTTAGTACAAATAAAGATGTAAATACTGCAAGTTGACTGACTCTCCTCTCTCCGTGGACCCCTTGGGAATTTATGGATCAATGTTAAGAACCCCTAGTCCTAGGTGCATAATGAACAGGGTCTGAGTTAGTGGGGATGAAGAAGGAAGACATATGACAGTAATTTAAGAGGCAGAACAACTGAATCGACCTGATGATTTGATGGCAGATAACGGAAAAAGAAGTGTCTAGATTGATCCTCATGTTTCCAGACTGGGGATTTTATGATACTCAAAATGAGGATAATTGCTAAAGATTCAGAAAGACATTCACATTGCTTACATCTTTAGGGTTGAGAAATACAGTAATTATTAACTAAACGATTAACAGTTCTTGCAGATCTTGCTGTGATTTGAAAGACTGAAGAAGACAGAACCATATACTGGGTAGTCAACCATATGTTCCTGGCCAAGTAAACAGAGCTTACCTCTCAGGCTCAAGTGCATTGCTCTTTCTACCAGGATACTGACTGTAAAAGTTCCACTCAACTCAGCAAGGCCCTCCTGGGCTGAACAAACTTTAGCTGTGGTGCTGCTGCAGGGCACCTGTGTGCAGGCAGGAGACTTCTGGTCACCATGTTGGGGAGAGAGCTGGATCTCATCCCTTCTGGGGAGCTGCTCAGCCTCACTGTGGCTGCTGCAGTCCATGGAGTCCAGCTCACCAGTGGGCTCAGGGAGTGGGGAAAGAGAAGAAAGAATCACATGAACTCGCAAGGCAGCTCCCGAGAGGTTGGAGGCATTTCGTCCAAACAGAGGATACACACCTAGAGAAGGAAGGAAGAAAATAAGCCCGGGCAGGGAGGAACACTCTCCAATATTGGAAGAAATACTCACTGAGGGCGCTTTTGGTCCTTTTTCCTTTGACAGACCTACAGGTCCCAATATACCAATTTGCAAAAGATGCTGCGAAGTTGTAAAACATGAGAGTTTTTACCCCACCTTTACCAGTTACAACAATGGAAAGTAGTGAGGTCTCTGATTCAAAGCCAAAGTCAAATGATTACCAGGCAGAGCTGTTGTGGAAAGCATTCATGTGTTTAGGGGCAGCTAGACTTCGATGACTTCTGAAACCTTTCACAAGTCTAAGATTTGATGAAATCAGCAGTGGCCTGTCTTCTCTTGCACATGTCCCATAAACCAAAACCTGTTGCAGTATAGTTGATCCCGACTCATAGTGACCCTATAGGACAGAGTAGAACTGCCCCATAGGGTTTCCAAGGCTGTAATCTTTATGGAAGCAGACTGCCCCATCTTTCTCCAGAGGAGCAGATGGCGGGTTCGAACCACTGACTTTTTGATTAGCAGCCAAGTGCTTAACCACTGCACCACCAGGACTCCTTACATGTCCCACAGATTCCTGTTTTTAGAACTTCTCCTCATTAGGAAGCTGTTCTGGTGCTCAATATCGCCTTGTTTCACCAATTCAGTACGTTCTGGGAAGTTGGCAGTAGCCCTGAAGGACAACTGGAAGGGAAGACCAGTTGGCAGGAGGTGGCAAGAAAGAAGGTAAGGGAATTAATGCTTGTTGAGTGTTTTTCATGCGCCAGAATCTCAGAGGGGTTAAGTAACCTGTCCAAGATCACTCTTCCTGTAAGTGGCAGATTTAAAACCAGGGATTTGAAATTTACTGGCTTCTTAGAAATTAAAATGAGATTTAATTTATAAAGCAGAAGGAACTGATAGTTCCTTCAAGACATCAAAGTATGCTTCCTAGAAAAGACAGACTCATCTCAATTCAGGAAGCTGGAATTAACTGATTCTAGATGGTAAAAAAATGGAACTTTTCCTGTCTTTTTCTATTTTTAGGTAACCTGTTATCTTCAAATGCAATGTGTAAATTATTACAATCATCACCAGCAGAAAACAAGTGCAAGTCATGGTTGAGGGAAGATACCCAAAAGCAACATAGTTAAATTCTTTTTCTCAAGAAACTTAATATGTAGAAGCATGATGTCTTAGTTATCCAGTGCTGCTATAACAGAAATACCACAACTCGGTGGCTTTAACAAACAAATTTATTTCCTTGCAGTTTAGGAGGCTAGAAGTCCACATTCAGGGTGCTGGCTCTAGGGGAAGGCTTTCTCTCTATGTTGGCTCTGGGGGAAGGTCCTTGTCTCTTCTGAGCTTCTGTTCCTGCGCAATCTTCATGTGGCTTGGCATCTTCCCATCGCTGCTAGCTCACTTGTTTAATTTCTTTTGGATCTCAAAAAAGATTGACTCAAGGCACACCTACACTAACCCTGCCTCATTAACATAACAAAGACATCCCATTCCCAAACAGAATTATAACCACAGGCATACAGTTTAGGAGTTACAACACATATTTTTGGGGGACACAATTCAATCCACAACAGATGATTAGATGGATGATTGGATGGAATGATTCACTCATTCAATAGACACATCACATGCCACGCCTTGTACAAGTCCTGAGGATAAAAAGCTTAGACTAGTGGGATGTGGAGAAGTATGAGGGAAATGGAGGATCTGAAAAGTTAAATACCACCTCCAGTGTCACTCAGTAAAAAGGGATATTTGTGCTTGAGTTCTAACCCTTAGACATATATTCAGTGTCCTAAACCTATTTCCCTAGCTGAGTGAAGCCTACCTTTATGAACTTCAGTTCAAGACGGCAAAAACAAGGACTTTTTCTGCAGTCTCTCTGAGGTGACTCTAGACCGGCCCAGATAAATAGGACACATGGAATTTGATAAGGTGCTCAGTAGAGCCAGGCTTACACCAGCTGGGTCTAGAGAGAACCAGAGAATCTGGAATGACCAGCCAGACACACTCAATTCTCCTCCTGCTCATCCCTGCTCAGCACAAAGCTAACAGGGCTAAAATAAGGTTATGAATCAGTTTCTACAAGTGTATAGTAGAAGAAATAATAACTACCTTATAGGATTGTTGAGATTCAAAACATCATGTTTGTAAAGAATCTAGTCTGGCTACCTCCAATTCATTCTCCACTATAATTGCTAGACTTATTTTTCCAGAATTGCAAAGCTATGTCACTCCTTTATTCAGAACTCATTCCAATAACTTTCCATAGTGCTCAGAAAGTCCAAACTCTTCTGCTTAGATCTTCAATATAGTACTCCTACTCATCTACCTAGCTTCATCTCCCATCACTTCCCAACCTATGTATCCTCTCATCTAGCCATACCAAATTACTTACAGTACCTAAAATGTATCAAACTGCTTCATGCCTCTGTGCTTCACTCATGCCCTTCCCCTGTTTAGAATACCTTTCTTTTCCCTTTCTGGTGTATTCTTTGAATAAGTCTTTGAAACTCATGTCAAGTATCACCTCCACTGAGATGGCTTCCTTGAACTAAAGAGATGTCCCATTCCTGTGCTCCCATAGCACCACTGAGAATACCCTTTTCATAGTTCTTATGCTTCACTCTAACAATTTATTTCCTACTCTATTCTCCCATTAGACTGTAAACTCATAGAGGTCAGGGACTATTTATTACTCATCTTTGAATTCTCATGGTCAAGCACATGCATCAAGTCCTCAACAAATGTTTAAAAAGAAAAAAGCACCCAGTACATAATGTCACTTGCACCCTTCCCCCTTATGCCTTGTGAGCCACTTTATTACCATGTAGCTTTTCCTTTATGGTTGCAAGATATGCTGACCAGAAAGGAAGAATATCCTGGTCCTCTTAGGTAGGCTAATTCAAAAATTACCATTCTAGATTATCAGACAGGTTCTTATATATTTGGTTAAAGACAGTTCCCTAAAACCACTCATTCTTATTTTCTACACGTTAACTGAGTGCTGACAATGTTCTAGGCACTATGTTAGGTGCACAAACCTGCTGACTGTGGGAACCACTCTGGAACTTCGAAGTTCAGCGCCAGTTCTTAGATGTGTAGTGATCCCACCAAGGCATTGTTACCTTGTAACACCCTTTTTTAAGCAGGTGGTTGACCTCTTTTTGAAATCTCTAGTTTCAAAAAGTACTACTAAATTATGATTAATCTTTCATCATCAATAATGGAGGAACACTTACTAGCTTGTGATCTTGTGCAGGTTATCCAACTTCTCTGAGCTTCCATCTCTATGTCTGTAAAATGGGTCTAAGGTCCCTGGGTGGTGCAAAGGTTTTGTGCTCGACTACTAACCTCAAGGTTGGTGGTTCAAAACCAACCAGAGGTGCTGAGGAAGAAAGGCATGGTGATCTGGTTCTGTAAAGATTACAGCTAAGAAAGTCCTATGGAGCAGTTCTAATCTGTAACACATGTGGTCACCGTGAATTGGAATCAACTCAACTGCCATGTATTTATGTTTTTTAAAATGGGTTTAATACCTATCTCACAGGACTGCTGGCAGGACCAAATAAAATTATGCCTGAGAGAGTGTTTCACATCTGACATAAAGCAGGTGCTCAAATCACAAGAGCTGAGCCTGGCTCCTCACTTACCACTGACAGTTAGTGTCTTTGCTGACCTCTCCCCAAGTCTGGTCAGGTCCACATAGGCTGAGCCAATCCAGCTGTCTGTCTGGTGAGGCCTCTCCACACTATCATTGCCATAAGCCCGCCACACTTGGATCTCCAGCCTCTCTTCCCTGAAGTACCAAAGCAGTGATGGGCCCCTGCTGACTTCTGCTCTTTTGAATGCCTTGAAAGTAACCATGACCTGGTTTTTGTCTGCAGATTCCTTAGGCTTCTTCAGAGGGGTCCAAAAGCCTTTGTGATCATACAGCTTATAGCGAAGGTAGCAGTAAGTGTTCTTATGAATGTGCTTCTGGCCAGCAAGCAGCACGCAGTGGATGGGCAGCCAGAGCCTTGGCGTGGAGATGGTGATGGTGGCTGGCTCCTCTTTAATATTGACAAGATCCTTTAGGCTGTTATCAAAGCTCCAGCCCAATAGCTCAGCAGCTTCCAGCACCCGCTCTCTATCTCCAGGATGGGTAAAGGAAACTGTAATCTCCAGACCACCCACAATCTTCTGCATGAGCTCCAAGCTGTGAGTCAGGACCCCATCTTCCGGAAAAATGACAGGATACCAACCTGTGATCCCTTATGGGAGAAAAGGAAGATTTTCAATTATTGTCTTAAAAGTAAAAAACAAAAACAAAATAAACTTACCCACCTCTCACCCCAGAGCCACCACCACCCTGCCCCAAGACAGAACAGAAAACATGTGTCCACAGTGAGATGGAGTTTGTGTTTCATCTGACCACTGAAAAGCAGTGACACCTGGTGGGAAGAATGAAGGTTGGGAGTTGGAAGACCTGCGTTCTTTCCTGGGCTCAATTCAAAATTAGTGGTTCATTCTGGGAAAGCCATTAATCTCTCTCATCTCTAGGCCTTGGGTTTTCTTACCTAACAAAGGGAAAAATTAATGCTAATCTTGCTTACCAGACAAAGTTCTTATGATCATTAAATGAGATAATGATTTTAGAAGAGCTTTGAAAGAGAAGTACTATAAAACATGTGAAATGATAATATGGCACTATGAGTACAATGGAACAAAGTCAGGAGATCTGGGATCTAGTCCCAGGTCTTCAACTAAGGAAATGCTACTTAGTGAACACATACCAAGGACCAGGAACTAGATTTGAAAATAACAACAGCTACTCTTTTTTAAAAAAAATTTATTTTATGTATTTAATTAATTTTATTTATTTTTATTGTCTATTCTGTCAGAAAGTCTGTTAGTGCTTTATATGTATTATTTAATTCTCCTGATAATCCTGTGAAGTTCCAAGGATTAAATGGGATAATGATCTCCATTTTACAAGTAAAAACACTGAAGCTCAGAGACCAACCCAAGCTGTTACAGCTACCCAGTGGCAGAGCTAGGATTTGAACCCAGGTCTACATTTCACCTACCACAGGTTCACAATTTCTTATCGGAAACAGTTAAGGCCAATTTATTTCTGAATTTAGAATTTTTCAGAATTTAGAAAGGTAATACAGAGCATAAACTGAATATCATTTAACAGCCAGGAGGAGTATAATTCAGGGGTGGGCAAACTTATTCTATAAAAGGCCAGACAGTAAATATCTTAGGCTTTGTGGGTCATATGGTTTCTGCCACAAATACTCAACTCTGCTGTTTGCCATAGTCAATATGTAAATAAATGGGTTCCAATAAAACTTTATAAAAACAGGCAGTGTGTCTAAGTCAGAAAATAAAAGTCTAAATATAAATAGTCTTATGTCAGCTGAGGTCAGATTTGACTGCCTAATGAGTTAATAAAAAAATTTGTTTTTTAGAGCTTTTTGGATTTTAGAATTGTGTATGTTGTGGATTAGTACAGTAATCATCACAGCAATTTTCTGAGAAAGGTTATATTAATTATACTTTACAGATGAGAAGATTTCAGCTCACTGAGACTAATTTGCCAAAGATCACTTAAGGTTTTATGACTTTCGGACAAGGCATTTAATTCTCGAGTTTTTGTCTGTAAAATGAGGAGACTGAACATGTTGATCTGTAAGGCTCCTTTCAGCTTGGACAGTCTATAAGAACCTACGGCCTTGGCTTAAACAACTTCTCATCTCTGGACATTGGTTTCCCTGCAGCCTAGTGTTTCTTAACATTTTCTGGTCACAGACCTCTTTGGCTCTAATGAAAGCTATTATTCCAGAAAAATGCACACATATATGTACACACAAAATTTCACACTGTTGCTAACAACAGCTGGATTAGATGGTCCCTTTTGCTCTATGATTCTGTAAGTGAGATTACTGGCAGGAGGAAACAAAACAGAATGTTCACTTTAGAATAACTCTGAATACAAAGACAAATGACACACCTCAAATTAAAACATTTATTTCCAAAGGTTAATTTTAATGCTTACAGATGAAATTTCCCAGACGGTGCCTGTTCCCTGACAAACTCTGAAGTTTCAGGAGACTTATATTTTGTTTCAGGAGAAAGGAAACTGAGGTGTCCTATGTGACTGTGTGCAGCCCAGTGCCAAAGCCTTTCATATGTATAGTTTCACTGAATACTTCAATAATCTTGTAGAGCAGATCTTATTAGTTCCATTTTTTATACATGAGGAAACAACAGATCTGAGAGATGAAGTGACTTGTTCTAGATCACAAACAGTAGGTGACAGAAGTGAGATCTGAACCCTGTATCAAGTTGCACAGACTTTGTCTCTGGCAGGCACATGGGCAATCCCTGTTTATTAGAGTATTGCTCAAATTAACTCACAATTAAATTTGGGAGATGTGTGATAGAATTCTGGAAATTAGATTACATAATCCTAGGGAGGAGGATGGGCAAGAGAAAGAAAACTAACATTTATTGAGTGTCTACTATGTGTCAAGTACTCTATCCCATTTCATTAATTCCTACCTTGGAGATCTGTAACTATCTCCATCTATGAAAAAGAATACGGGCTCAAAGAGGTCAAATCATTTGGTCAAAGTCACCCAGCTAGTAGCAAGTAGGACTGAACCAATATTTCAGACTGCCTTGGTGGCTGTATTCTTTTGAGCCATTACTCCATACCCTTATTCCTTCTTCAAGAGCGAGAAGAACATAATAGAAAAATAAGGGCAAATCTTGATTTGATTTCCAGTCCTGCCACACACTAGCTGTATGATTTTTGCAAATCACTTAACCTTTCTGAACCTAAGTTTTCTCATCAGTCAAATGAAAATAATAAGATCTTGTATGACTGCTAGGCACGGTTATCATGGAGAACAAACTAGATCTGAGAAAATATTTTACAAAGTGCTATCTCTGATGTAATGGGTATCACTATATTCATTATTACATTATTATCATCATCATCTTTCCTAGACAGGTTAACAGTACAATATTTTAAGCTTCTTTGCTTTATGAGAAAGCCTTTGGAATGCTTAGGAGAGGATTTAAAAATGCTTTGGAAAACCTTTGTGATACCTGGGAGAATTCAGAAGCATGTGTTAAGGGTTCATATTTACTTTCACTTCTCTGAAAAGGAGATCTTGCAAGAGATGACGTCTTGTAGGGAAATGAATGGGAAAGGGTAGGATCAGAAAGTGACAATTTAGAATCCTTACCAGATCTCTTGACCAGTAGCTCTTTCATTGGAACCTTTACTACTCCAAGCAGATAATCTTTGGATGTCTGAAGACTGGCTATATCACTGGCTATTAAATCAAGCAAAAAAGAAAAATTATCTGTTGGTCTATTAAGGGCTATGTTTACAGTACATCCACATAACCCTCCATTTACACTCACTGAATCTCAGTGTTGGAAGATATATTAGAGGTCATCTTGTTCATACCCTAGTCAAAGCTTGAATCCCCTCTATGTCATTTTAAAAAATTAAGTATTTTATTTTGAAAAATTTCAGACATACAAAAAAGTTTTAAGAATATTACAATGAACTCCTAGATACTCTTCATCTAGATTCATCCAATATTAATATCTTGACACATTTGCTTTACTGTGTATATGTGTGTCTCTCTCGCACACACCCAGGCTAAGCATATTCTTATTTTTTGCTATACTCTTCAGAAGTAATTTGAAGACATTATGAACCTTCACCCCTAAACATTTCAACATGTATATCCTAGGAACAAGAGCTTTTTAAGAAATACACACATTAATACTGCAATGATTAAAATTAGGGAATTTACAATTGATATAATACTGCTTTCTAATATAGACTCACATTCAAAATTAAATGTTTGTCCCAATATTGTCCTTCATAACAAGATTGTTCTCTCACCTCAATTTAGAATCTTATTCAGGACTATGCATTGCATTTAGTTCAGATCATTTTGTAAGGTAAATAGTTCAATTTGGTGTAGCAGGGAGAGATGGGTAGGGGAGGCCAGATGAATTAACAGTTATTTATATACTTCTTGTGTTTCCCAAATGTGTGATAATGAAAACGTATTTTATATTCACAAAGTAACAACTTTACTTACATAAACAGTTTTTAAAATCTAGGTATATACTAAAACCTAGAAGGAATCAAATTACAATGTTCATGATAAAAATTGTTTAGCAATCAATAAAGAACTCTTGGCTGGGTAAGTCCTTGAAAGACCATTGAGTCTATCCACTTCCCTGCTTTTGAGCAGAACCACAATTGAAGACAGCTACATATTAGTACCAAAAATGCTAGTTTTTTTCCCTCTCTACAATGATTATAAAAAAACTTCCTATAGCAAATGGTTAATGCACTCAGCTGCTATCTGAAAGGTTGGAGGTCTGAGTCTACTCAGAGATGTCTCAGAAGAAAGGCCTGGTGACCTACTTCTGAAAAAAATCAGCCATTGAAAACCCTACGGAGCATAGTTCTACTCTGACACACACAGGTCTCCATGAGTTAGAATCAACTCAACAGCAACTAGTTTTTGGTTTTTTAAGCTTCTCATAAAGGTAATGTCTGTTTTTTCCTTCACATTATTTGGCACATGACAAATTATTTTAAAAAATTCTCAAAATTATCTTTTATTTTCTTAAAGATCTCCAAGGAGAAGATTTTCAAATGTATTTTGGTAATATGTCTCAAAGTTCTTCAAGTTTTATTAAAAAAAAAAAAAAAAAATCTTGAAAGACTACAGAGTTGGGGCTAGAACCTGGGTTTCATTTCTTAGTTCAGGACTTTCCTGACTTTCTAAAAATTCAGTTGGATGCTCTTCCTATGTGACCTCTAAGCCATATGCTTACATTTGTTAAACTATATCATGCTGCCTTTCCCACCAGACTCTAATGAGGGCAGGGAGTTTCTTGTTCACCATCACATCCCCAGCAACCAGCACAGCTGCCTGGCTTACAGTATGTATTCAATTATCTGCTGAATACATAATGAAGGGCTGTGTCACTCAAAACAAACCCCTTTTTAATCCTGTTGTGATGAGTCATTTGGTGCTCACCTGACTTGGTATCTTCATGATAAATAGCAAAAGTAACTTCTGCAAACTCCAACAGCTCTGCCAGGAAACAGGCCTCTCCACTGCAGTGCTGAGTTACCAAGTTACACGAGAACTCAACGTGATGGGAGAACTCAGGGCAGAAGGAACAGGCCACTGGGTGGGTTTGGCGCTGCTCTCCCTTGGGTAGGAAGGAGAGATGAGTGGTGACAAAGGCATTGACTCCGAATGTGGCACTAAACTGGAGAGCAAGTTCCTTCTCAGCCAAAGCCCTGTAGGAGAGAGGAGTGGGAATGAGGAGCCACGGTAATAACAGAAATCAGCTTGATTGCCTAGAAAACATCTCAACGACTTCCATGAGGCCACCAAGAAGACTGACCAACCATATGCTTCCTGTCTAGGCTTCTGGCAGTACCACAATGTGCTTTATTATTAATCTAGAATGAAGCACAAATGTGTACCGAATTGGGGGAGGGGCAATATTCATCTACCTACCACAGTGATACTCTGAGGACATTCCATTGTATTGTCCATGCCCTTTGGCCAAAGAACACTAAGAACTAAATGCAGTTGAACAGGTGGGTTTGTTGCTCATTGCAATAAAGAAGAACATGCATCATGGGGAACAATGAGGTGTCTCAGTAAGAGGTGTCAGAGAGGACTTATAGGACTGGGTTCACATTAGTTGATTTAATAAATCTCATCTAGAGGGCTAAAGCTATAATCAGTAAAGAAGCAGCAGCTACTCATTTTAGCTAGGGTAAGGGGAATGTGTGGCATTTTTTGTGTGTTCTGTTTGTGCTTAGACAAGATTGTGGGGTAGTCTTGTTTTTTGTCTCATTTCATCATGGTCACAATGTGGCCTTTTCTGATGCCGGTGTTCTGTGAGATTGTTTATGTTCAACAGGAAAACACCGAAGCCTAGCTGTGAACAAGCTCCAGATGTCAGGGGCTGCTTTTCTCTTTCTCAGTACAGATGTTCCATGATGTACAGACAGAATCTACACACCTTTAACAGAAACTCATAAAGAGTAGTCAAGTGTCCTCTGTGTGTGGGCACAGTCTGAGACAAAAATCTCTCATCCAAAATTTCGGCAAAGAGGTCACCTCTCTGAATCATTCCTTGACATTCCCAAAGCAGAGTTGGGGGTTCCTTCCTCTAAGGTCCTCACTACACTTAGTATATACCAGTAGAGGGTAGTAATTTGGAGTCATACAGATCTGGGTTTGAATCCTGGCTCCACAGTCTACTTACTGTGTGACTTGGACAAGCTGGTCAACCTCTTCCAAGTCTCAGTTTCCTCTTCACTAAAATGAGGATAACATAAGAATGCAACAAATACTAAGGATATATGTATATTTGGATGTATACTGCAATTTTGTTTCTAATGAAAAAGGGGAAACAACCTAAATAATCATGAGTGGAAGACTGTTAACTAAATTACAGTGTGTCCATACAACAGCATATTATGAGGTATATACTGTACCTAAGGAAACTGAGATGGAAATACAATGTTAACAGTGGTTAAAAAAAGCGGATACTCATAGGGTATTATAAGGATTACATTAGATAATATACACGAAATAGAACCTGCCTATGGCAGTGGAAGGATTTTAACAGCAACTCTCAGTGATAGCAGTGAGATGGCAGAAAGGCTTTGGCCCAAGCTGGTCTGAAGTCATTCATTCAATAAGTATGTACTGAGCATCTGCCCTCTGTGTCATGCATTGGGCTCAGAGCTGGATATATAGTACTGAAATAGCTACAATTTCTTCCCCTCAGGGAACTTAGAATCTAGTGGCTATTCCAAGGAAGTTTCTCTTCATTCTCATTTAAAGATCGGGTGAGCTAGAAGAAGCAGGTGAATTAGAAAAAAGTGCCTTTTTTACAAATGTTTCAAAAAATGTATTTTCAAGAAGATCATGAGGGGTGGTGTCTTTTGAAGAGAAGGCTGACTTCAGAGCATCTGCTATTTAAGATACTGGAGTGAGAATCAAAGGAGGGAATATTTAGAATACCAAGAACTCCTTTCTTCAGTTAGAGGCAATGCAAAACTTATTTCTGATTTTACGATATTCTCCTGGCTAATGTTATATAAATAATGTTAATTATCTAAATAAGTGGAAACAATCAAAAAAATCTTTATATTTGTACAGTAGTTAGTGACTTCATATTTGTTAATTTTTTACACAAATCCTTAGAAAATCAAGGCAGGTGTTCATAATTTACATTTTTTTAGACGAAGAAACAGAAGCTCAGAGAGGTGAAAAAACTAACCCAAGATCACACACGGCCAGTAGGAGATGGGGGTGGAACTAGAAGCCAAGGCATCCGATTTCTAGCGCAGTGCTGTTTCCGTCATACTATGCTATGTCTCACATGCTGTAGGACTCCCCCAGCCTACCAGGAGAGTATAGTGCTAGAACTCTCCTGGCTTCTTGCCCTTTCTCCTAGAAATTGCTCCACAGAACAAATGCAAGACTTTCAGCAAACTGCTTGCCATTCAGTCTGGCTTCCCCCATGAGCCCTCGCAACCCTCAGACAGAGGAACTACTGAGTTTCTTATCTATTATCCAGTCTGAAATCTACTGGGTATCTAAATTTTAAGTCCTTTTCTGTCAATTAAATACTTGTTAATTCAACACCATGTTTAAGAATTTTTTACCTTGGCTGGGTTTTACATAGAACAGGCACTCCATATATGCAAGTTTCATGCCTCCATATTTGCACATGCTCTTCAATTTGACCAGAATATTTTCCCCCTCTTGGGCATCTTTGTATCTCCTACTTTTCTTTCAAGACTAGGATTAAGATATTCTGAAAGGCCTTTAACGCCAAGCAAAGGATGTTGGACTTATCCTGTGGACCAGTAGTCTCTAAAGGAGAGTGTATACAAACTGGGGGGTTTAAAGGGTAAACTATTGGGGCACAGGAAGGAAATATTTAAACTTCTATATCTCATATATTCAATTTTTACAATTTTATGATATATTTTATCTTTCATATATTGGTATACACATACATGAATATAATTTATATATAAGTAAGTATACATATATTTGGATGGAATGCTAAACATTTTTTATTAATAGGAATGTATAATTAAAGTTAGGAGACAACCGCTATTGACAACAGTAAACCAAAGAGTTTCAATATAAGGCAGTTGCGTGATTTAAAAGCTGCCCTGGTATCACTTTCACTAACAATAAAATGTTCTGGGGCAATTTTGAAAAAGACCAGTCTATCTGGAGAATTCAGTGAGGAAAAACAGTAACTAGACTGAAAATGTTACTAACTGCTTCAGTGTCAGATCTCACATAGGCAGTAATTCAATTAAAGTTCTTTGGAGACTATGAAGTTAAAGCATGTAATTAGGAAGTTATAATAGAGAAAAAGTTAGGGAACACTTGCCTGCTTCTTTCCTGAACTCAGGTCCAAAGTGAAGTAGTTTAAGGCAAGAGCCTGATCGATTTCTCTTTCTTACTGGGAACCTACTATGTGCTAGAACTATGCTATGTAGTGCGGATACAGAGAGGAGTTCAGGCAGTGTCTCTGGCTAGAAGAACTCAGAGCCTAGTGGAGGAAAATGTGTACAAGTCACTGAAACAGTAATATGTGCTACTACCAAGGTGCTAACAGAGAAAGGAAACGGCATCAATTCTGCCTACATGTAGGAAGAGATAAAAGAAGGCTACAAAGCAGCTGCAAAGTCTTGAAGGAAAACAGGGATTTGTTAAGTGCACAAAGGAGGAGGAGCATTCAACGTCAAGAGAAATATGAGCAAATCTGACAGGGATCACAATAGAGGGTCCCGGACAGAGCTGGAGAAAAATGTAGAGCAAAATTCTAACTCACAAAAAAAAAGACCAGACTTACTGGCCTGACAGAGATTGGAGAAACCCCAAGAGTATGGCCCCAGGACACCCTTTTAGGTCAGTAATGAAGTCACTCCCGAGGTTCACCCTTCAGCCAAGATTAGACAGGCCCATAAAAGGAGACTAAACGGGTACACCAGCCAAGGGGCAAGGACTAGAAGGCAGGAGGTGACAGGAAAGCTGGTAATAGAGAACCCAAGGTCAAGAAGGGGAGAGTGTTCACATGTCATGAGGTTGTTAACCTACATCATTGAACAATGTGTTCTGTTTAATGAGACACTAGCTTGTTCTGTAAACCTTCATCTAAAGTAAAATTTAAAAAAAAAAAAAAAAAAAGGTATGAGCAAAGACCCGAAGGAGGTGAAGGACAGGGCCGTGATGTTTATCTATAGAAACAAGCCGTCCAGGCAGAGAAAACAGCAAGACAAATGCCTACGGGGTAAAGGAGCTTGGTGTGTTCAGAAGCAACAGGAAGGCCAGTGGCTACAGTGGAGTAAGCAGAAGGGAGGAGAGTAGGAGAAACAGATGAGATCACAGAGATAACAGGGGGTCAGATCATGTGGGGCTCTTACAGACATTTTAAGGGCTCCGGCTTTTACTGTAAATGAGATGGAAAGTCATTCATGGGTTTTAAGTAGAGGCATGCCAAGATCTGACTTACATTTTAATATGATGGCTGGCTAATGTATTGAGAACAGACTGAAGAGGGACAAGCTATAAAAACAGGAGGTGGTACTCGAGATTGAAAAGCTTGAATACAACATTATGAAGGAGTTGTAGTGATTGGTCATGGCATAGTTTGAGGGTGTATGTTATGACCATAGCAGTAAGTAGTTAAGTGGGGTAGAGAGTAAGATTGTTGGAGAAGGTCAAGGAATTTAGTTACTAATAACAGTTAATATAGCAAAGTTTGCAACTGATTTACCCACTTGTATTTTGAAATGCTTTCTTAAGAGAAAAAGAATATAGTTGTGGTTAGTGAACTGGAAATTATACACAAGAAAGTTTTAGGTAACTGATTATCATATGCACTGCAGTGGAAAAGGTGTGAGAATTGCTTTTCTAAAGTTGACTTACTTGGCTGCTGCTTGCAGACCACAGGCTCTGATAATCTGGACTGAGATGGAGACAGTTCGGGCAGCAAGACCTCCTTCTGCTGTCCTTGGAGTACGCCTGTACCTTAGGCCCACATCCAGTAAACCTGCAGAATGAGGATAAAAGGAAGAAAAATAAAAACTGCTATCACATTTCGGGGAAAGTTCTTAGGAAAAACAGAATAGGCTGATCAGTGAGGATGAGGAGGAACAACTCAATCTTATACTTGCAAAAATAAAATGTTTTGTTTTGGCAAACAGTCCAGCAAGCATGCACAGTTACTTGATTTAGGAGGCTAATCCTAATTATCTGATGATGTATTTGGAGGGCAGTTCATTCTGCTGGAAACATTAGGATGCAATACTGCTCAAAACTCCAAATTCTTATAATCCCTTCCGAAGTTTAAATCCTAACCTCCTCCTCCCTTACACTGAATTCCCAGCTCATGCTAACTATATTCCACCAATCACACATCTGCTCATGTTGTCTTGGAATAATAATTCTCTGAGTAGACCTGTGTAATACCTTCTATTTATGCCATAGGGGCTTCTATTAAACACTTGCTGATATTAAAGGTAAAATGAGCAGAGGTCCATGGAACTATGAATTTTCTAAAATTATGGGCAAAATTGGCTCTGTATGTTCTACACTCATTTTTCTAAAGAGAGGGTGTCTCATAGTTTTCATCAGATTCTCAAAAGGGTTGTTGTTAGTTCCTATGGAGCTGGCTCCAACTCATGGCGACCTTATATATAACAAAATGAAACAATGCCAGGTCCTGTGCTATCTTCATGATTGTTGGTATGTTTGTCAGTACCCCATAATAGTAAAGAATCACTAATTTAGAGAGAATAGGGATATTTATGTATACTGACTCTGAAACGGAAAGACAAACTAGTCTTCAATTACCTGATGATTGGCTCTTCAATTCTTTCCTGTTCTCAAGCCTGGGTGTTAAAGGGAGATTAAAGGTCTGTATTCCCACATCCTCGCGGTGCTGCATGGTTACCATGGCACAGATCCTTGATAATGGCAAGGTTCCTTTGGCGACCATCTGGTCTCTCACATTAGGATAATAGTATCTGTAAGCCATATAAACACAGTCAGTTGGAAGAATTAGGTGGGTGAATGATTTACTCTGCTCCAAGGATCAGCTTTCAGTATCTAGTTATCTCTGCAGCCTGTACTGGTGGTATGCAGCTATGGTCTTGTCTGGCTGGATTTACTGCCCACTATAAATGGAGGAGGAACCTCACAAATTATACCCTGTGTTCAGGACAAAGCCCAGTTTCCCAAAGGCTTTCTATTTGAGATGTCTGCATCTGGCCTGGATCTCTGGGAGTAATCTTTCTATTCTGCAGCAGCAAAAGTGGTTCTAAGTGGAACAATCTCAATCTTATCAAAGGCTCACCTGTCTTCAGGTCTAGTCCCCTCAAATTTAGAGGAATAATAAGGATTTGTCAGTATCTCCTTTATTTCCTTCTCAAGTCTAAACATTTCATACTTAGATCACAAAGTTGTAAAATCAAATCTACATGATTTCTTTAAATCTGTTTCCCCCAAATTGTATTTAGAAGTTTCCGGTATGTGAATGGTACTCTTCCCTTGTTCTGTTCCTGATGCTGTTACCTCTCCTTTCATATTAATAATCTTAAGTAATTTTAGTCGGTTTGTTGGGGGTGAGGATGCAAAGAGGTAAGTCGAACATTTGTATTCATGCCATTATGTTTCCTGGATATCTTCTGCCCAAGGCTGTTACATGGATAGATTTATATTTTACAAAGGTTACTCTTCTAGCAGTGGGAAGAACAGATTAAAAGAGCAGTGGGAAGAACAGATTAAAAGAAATGAGTCTAGAAGTAGGGAGACTCATTAGGAGGTTATCAGTTATTTAGGCATGATATAATGAGGACCTGAACTAAATAAAGACAGTAACAAAAGCAGAAAAAAGATGATTAACATGTTCAAGAGACACTAAGAGGTAAAACTGACTTCACTTCCAAATGCATGTAGTAGTGAGAAGTATGAGATACAGTTGCTCCCAAAGGCCCAATAATTCAACAGATTTCAGAAAAATCTGGACAAGAGACACTTTCATATCCAAATAACATAAAACAGGGCAAAAGGGGCTAGTTAGCTTCTTTTCAACAATTTAACCTAGGCTGGTTAAGCACCCTAGGCATACAATTGGGTTCTCCATGCTATACCTGCACCAGATTTCAAACTGGACTCCACCACCAGGCACGAGCCCCTGTGCAGAAAAGGCACTGAGTAGGAGCCTTTGCACTGGAACTTCAGTTGGCAACAGAATAGAGTGATGGTGCTCGCTATTAAAGATGGGATCTGGAACACAGAGGGTGGTTGCAGATCTGAAGGGCTTCAGAGTGATTCCTTTGGAAAACAAAACCAATTCAGAATAATCCAAAATATCATTTAGTATTTTACATGCAATAAGAGACATGCTAATGACACTTTAACTAAAAAGGACTTTAACAATCAGTATTCAATTTTATCCTCACAATACTCCAGTGAGGAAAACAAAGCAGGTATTACTACTCCTTTTTCACAGATGAGGTTATGAAGACATTACATGATTAATCCAAAGGACTCAGAGGTAGTAGGTAACAGACTTGGAGCCAGAACTACATTTTCTGATTGGGATACTCCTTCCAAGGTCCATTTCCCTAGTAGCTGAGGTCCCATGATAATACAGAAGAAAGGGATCCCTTTGCTGGATTTTATAGATCACATTATGTCTACCTCAGTATAGAAATTAGACAATATCCAGGTTCAAGTCTGATTCAAAAAGAGTAAAACACATTTTAAAATTGAGATATAATTCACATACCATAATATTCATTCTTTAAAGTGTACAATTCAGTGGTTTTTAGTATATTCACAAGGTTGTCCAACGATCACCACTATTTAATTCCAGAAAATTTTCATCACCCCAACAAGAAACCCGGTACTTATTAGCAGTCACTCCCCATTCTCCCTCTTCCCAGGCCCTGACAACCACTAATCTACTTTCTATCTCTATGGATTTGCCTATTCTGCACATTTCATACAAATGGAATCATACAATATGTGGCCTTTTGTGTCTGGCTCCTTTCACTTAGCATAATGTTTTCAAGGTTCATCCACACTGTAGCATGTCAGCACTTCATTCTTTTTTATGGTTGAATACTATTCCACTGTAGAGATACACCACATTTTGTTTATCCATTTATCAGTTGATGGATATGTGGGCTGTTTCCACTTTTTGGCTATTATGAACAATGCAGCTATAAACATTGGTGTACAGTTTTTGTGTGGACATACTTTTTCCTTTGGTAGATACTTAGGAGTAGCATTGCTGGGTCATTTGGTAACTCTTTTTGAGGAACTGCCAGACTGCTTTACACAGCAGTTGCACCAGTTTACAACCCACCAGCAATGTAAGTGGGTTCCAATTTTTCCACATCCTTGCCAATGCTTGTTAATCTGTTTTTTGTTTTTAAATTATAGCCATCTTTGAAATGAAGTTCTGATACATGCTACAACATGGATGAACCTTCAGTTACGCCAAGTGAAATAAGCCAATCACAAAAGGACAAATATTGTATGATCTTGCTTACATGAAATAACAACAGGCAAAGGTATACAGACCATAGTTTATGAGTGGTTACCGTGGGCACAATGGAGGGTGAAAGAGTGATTACTGTTTAGGAAGCATGAGTTTCTGTTTATGGTGATGGAAAATTTGGCAACAATTATAAGTGATGGTGGCACAACACGATTAATGTGACTGATATCACTGAATTGTATGCCTGAAAAATGTTGAATTGGCAAATGCTGCATTATATATATATTTTTTACAACAATAAAAACATAAAATAACCCCAGAAGACATGGCCCTAGGACTCTCTGTCAGCCCAGAACTGAAACCATTTCCAAAGCCAACTCTTCAGACATAGATTAGACTGGACTATAAGACATAAAATGATACTCGTGAAGACAGTGCTTCTTAGCTCAAGTAGATACATGAGACTAAATGGGCAGTTCCTGTCCAGAGGTGAGATGAGAAAGCAAACAGTGACAGGAGCTGGTTGAATGGACACGGGAAATCCGCGGTGGAAAGGAGGAGTGTGCTGTCACATTATAGGGAGAGCAACTAGGGTCACATAACAATGTGTATATAAATTTTTGTATGAGAAACTAAGTTGAACTGTAAACTTTCACTTAAAGCACAATAAAAAAAAATAAAAAGTAATCCCAATTTTTATTTTTTCACAACGACCTATTTAATGTAAAAATGCCTTTCCTACACTAAGCTGTTAGTGGTGAAGTCAAACCTATACTAATGAAGTATAATTTTGAAAATGCTATTGTTTTTTTAAAAAAACTTTCTGTGTATCCAAACTGTCCTTGCTAATGTCCCCAAGGTCTTCCTCACTGAGAAGACTAACAGATTCTCCATCCTGCCCTCTTTCAGATTTTGTCACTGCTGACCACCCACTGTTCCTGCATGCTTCTGATTATCTTAGCAAAAACGCCCAGACAGCCCTTCAGTCACCTTGTACCAAAAATTTTGTCTTTGCTATCAGCAAACCTTTCCTACAGGACTGTTGGACCTAGATGAGCTGTTGACAGCAAAATGTAATTATTCTAGACAGAGCAACTAATTATCCTTCCTCTAAAAATTTTTCTATGCTCAAATTCTCTACAGAGAATTCTGCCCCGTCTCCCAGCTTCTCCTTCTCCTTTGATAGAAGGGAGGAGATTGTATGACATCAAAGGATGTCTTGGTGCTGGGAGAGGTCTTGGTAATCTCATTTTACAAAAGAGGTACTAAATTTCAGAGGTCAAAACATTTTCCCAAGGTCACAGGGTTAATGTGTGGCAGATAAGAGACAAGTACTCAGGTCTTCTGGCTCTTGGCCTGGGATTTTTGAATTACCCAACATGCCTCACTATATTATTGGGCTGTTGAAGGCCAGGCCAGATTTCAGAGGGACCTGGGTATATTTTTATTATACAATGATCCTAATGCTACCATTAGGTCAGTGGTTTGCAGGTATCTTTTTAGTTGTTAAATCCTTTGTTCAAATGAAATTTTATAAGGAAACTCACTGTGGAGGTGAGATAAAGGAATGATGCTCTCTGGTCAAGAAGCCAGCACAAATAGGCCTTTCTCCCCATCTAGAGTGGTTCCGTGGACTTAAGTGTCCTATAGGGCACTTTGAAAGCCACTACATTAGGAGTCAACACACTTTTTATTTTTCCATAACAAAGAGTATCCATGTGACCAGTAGACATTCACGAAATCCTGGCTCATCAACCAGTCATGAGGCTATTGGTGAAATATGTATTTTAACTGTGGGAACTGTTCATTAATAACAATTTTCTCTGTTGACTTCTCTTCAAAAAAATAAATTATAGCCATCTTAGTGGGTGTGAAGTGGTATCTCATTGTGGTTGTCATTTGCATTTCCCAAATAACTAATGATGTTGGGCGTATTTTCATGTGCTTTTGGCCATTTGTATATCTTTGGAGAAATGGCTATTCAAATCCTTTGCCCATTTTTTAATTGGGTTATTTGTCATTTTATTATTGAGTTTTAAGAGTTCTTTATATATTCTGGATACTAGACACTTACCAGAGATATGATTTGAAAATATTTTCTCTCATCCTGTAGGCTGTCTTTTCAGTTCGAGTGTGTGCTTTGATGTATAAAACTTTAAAAATTTGATGAAGTCCAACTTACTTTTTCCTTTGTTGCTTGTGCTTTTGTCGTTGTTATCTAAGAAACCATTGCCTAATCCAAGATCATAAAGGTTTACACCTATGTTTTCTTCTAAGAGTTGTACAGTTTTCAAATATATATATATACCTACTCCTCACTTATCAACATTGTTAGGTTCCAAAGGTCAGGCTGTAATGTGAAAATTGGTGTTATGTGAAAACGGAGGATTTTTTCCCCCATTTTCAGACCATCCGTTCATCCAATCTTTTTTTTACTTAGAAAACATGATCACAGAAACAACAGGTAAGGTTTACTGATATTCTCATCACTGTGATGAGTCCAGTTATGGATTATTTCTCTGTGGAGAAGAAGGCTTGGAGGAGACAAAACTGGATAAAGCCGGGCTGTGTGACTGGAGGGCCCACGGCTTAAACCACTCACTTCACCTTTCTCCTATGCTTGATCAGAGCTTCCCTCATGGAGCCACCTCTAGGGCTCCACTCCCACCCCTGTAAGCCCTATGTTCATAATCTGGAGCCTGCTCTGCCCTTTGGGTCTGGTGACTCACGGAGGCTCGGGGCTTCCTGCGAGGGTGCTGGAAACAGCGCCGAGCGCCTGGCTCCACTGAGGTGGACAATTCAGGCCCAGTTTGGTTCACTTTGGGATGTCATGAAACTCACATGCATCTCCTCCAAACACCCTCTCCAATGCCTCTTTCTTTTCTCTCTTCCCAAACCACAGCAATTTTGAGCTGCAGGGCTTTAGCCTGCAAAGGAGCTGGGAGCCCAGAACAGGCACCCTCTGGATTGGTGGGGCCTGTGCATTTGCCTGGAGGCCGTGGCAGAAGGAAGTGGAGGGCACGGGCAACATGGCCCAGCTTCCCAGAGGCCACCCAGAGACTCTCCTTAAGGAAGGGGACACTCCCCAGCTGTTGCCACCATGCCTGCCGCCTTGTTAATGCACAAAATAGCTGGATAGTAGATTTTTTACTACTAGTGGAAATTCAAAATGTCAGATAACAGGATAGTTGACAAGTAAAGAATAGGTGCATATTTAAACAGATTTTATAAGCTATAACAGTATGGTATCTATCCAGGTTCCTTTGATGCCACAATCTTTCCCATTTCAGCTGGTAATCCACATACCAAAAACAGCTGGAAAGATTCCTAGAGCTCTCTTGTTCAAGGATTTGGCTCCTTTGTTGTTCCATAATTTACAGCACCATTAATAAACTTCATATTACAATCTCATAATACTGTTCCCTAAGACATAGGGGACTGAGTTCCTATCAAAGGAAAGAGAAAATAGCAGAAAAATTCTAAAGAGATTGGTTCACAAAGAAGAAGCCATTATACAAATGTATGGCCATTTAAAAGTCTTTGCCTTGAGGAGATA